TATGTTTCCTTCACTGCTTGAAGAAATGTTCATTTTGTCAAAGTATTTGTTTATGTTTTTTTGGGTGGGTGTGGGGTAGATGTTGTAAAACAGCAACGTTTAAGTTGGTAACTTTCAGTTTTTTTTCCAAGCAACTCTAAAACGCTTAGATATGCTAAACGATTTATAGATGTCACTTTTTGACATAGCAACGAAGTCATTGCAATTATAGAACTGAGAAAAGTACACACACTCTTAAGCAAATATGCTCATATTTCTTGCAGTTAAAGTAACAACTTCAGCCCTTATTTTATCTTAAAGGTAATACTTAATTTCAAGTTTTTTCTCTTTTACATTTTTGTGTGCCGAATGATATTCACTTTACATATTTATTTATTTATTATATTACAGGAATAAAAAAACAGAAAACTATAATAACTATGTGATGTTTAACAAATACTCACTATACAAAATACTAAAAAAATACGAAATATATCTAAACAAAATGAAACATTAAGATGAAACAAACAAAATGAAATTGTCTGTTACAGCTGATTACAAACAAAAAAAGACATTATAAAACTGCTCATAAATAAAAATATAAAAGAGGCTAATAAATAAAAACAAGCTGAAGTGCCTGTTTCAATTAAATACCAGCAAGCTAATAGACCTTTTTAGTAGGGACGTCATATACGCCAAATAATAGGCAACCCACACATTGTCATGAGGAATTTCTCAGTATTTTTATTAAATCGATATTCGACCTTATGTACTTTGGACATAATTTCAAAAAAATGTCTATTTTGTCATGACCTTAAATATCGCGATATTCTGGCAATATTATAAATATTTAAAGTTTCAAACCTTAAAGTGACAAACTAAAAGAACTATAGAATTTATGTTGATGAGTCCTAAAGGTTATTCTAGGACTCATCTTGCAGAAAAGAATAAAATTTTAAAAATTGTCTTTGAACCGATTCTAAACTTTGACAATGGATTTGGTAAATCGGATACCATAATCATCGAACCATACTCGATTTTGGATCTAACAAGAGCACAAAATAGGGGTTTGAAAGTGCGTGTATCGGAAGAGTCCCTACAATCGCGATATGTAAAACCATACCATTTAAAAGCACTAGAGACAATGTGATTAATATGATCATTAAATAAGCTTGCAGTCAAAATATATACCCAAATCCTTGAATACATCGACTCTGTTGACAACATTATTGTCAATAAAGTAATTATAGTTAGTAAAATTAATTTTGCAGGTGTAAGTCATTATCTTACATTTGGAAATATTAAGTTTTAGACGATTTTTCTTGCATCTTGTAGACATTCGATTGATGCATTCTTGCAAATGAAAAGAATCTCCAAGTAAAACTTAAAATCGTCGGCAAATAACAAATGCTCACAAGTAATGACTTCCGTAAGATCATTAATGAAAAATAAAAATAATATTGGACCTAAATTTGAACCTTGTGGAACACCTGGCGTATGAGGAAAGCCAAAACTTTCGAATTTCAAAAGAAGGATATTATGGTCAATCTGATCAAATGATTTTTGGAAGTCTGTATAAATGACGTCTACTTGTCCTCTTTTATCCAATACCTTCGAAATATACAACGAAAAAACAGCTAAGTTAGATATTGTTGATTTTTTTTCATAAAGCCATGTTCACGTGACGAAATAAGTTGTGCAACAAGCATAATAAATTTTGTTATACGTATAGTTTCCAGAACTTTCGAAAAATTACGTAATAAAGAAATGAATGCCTCTATAATTAGTCCAGGCGGTATCTGTTTCGGGTTGGGTAAAACCCATATGATCGGAGATTTTTGCTTTAACGGCTTCTAAATAACATCAGAAATGATAATTTTTCAATGCAAATGAAAAAAAATTGGGATTAATTGTTATTGCTTAAAAGTATAAAAAAAATAACAAAAAAAATAATTTTTTCTTGGATTTCTCGTCAACAACTTAGCAACTATTCGTTTTAGACAAAAATGGAAGAGGAAAAAAGTTTTGTAATTAAATTTTGAACAAGATAGAGTTAGTTGCAATTCGAAAAAATAATTATTGTTGTTGCAAAAATCGGAAAAATCATTTAAAAAATTGCAAAAAATGCTAGTTTATTTCAATTTTTTTAGACACTTGAATAATACCTTGGATCTTCATACTTTTCCCAATTAAACTTCTTAGTGTATAAAATCATCACACCAAATTTCATCCAATTCGGTTTGATAGTTTTTACATAATAATTGTTTAAATTTTTGTTTTTAATTAAAAAATTTTCAAAATCAAATTTCTAAAAATGTAAAGCCTTTGAATATTTGAAAATTTCACCACAAAAAGAAGAGCTCTGAAGCTTTAAAATTCTTTTTGAAAAATTCAAATCGGACGATTAGGTGAGCCGTGGTGATTGTTTAAACATTTTCGCAATTTTCACGCTTATAAACAATTGCAATAATTAATGTTTTTTCAATTTTTTTTATTTTAAAATATGGTTTGAAAGTACCCGCAAAGACGAGTATTCTTAAAAAAAAAACCTGATGATCCGGTCATTATTTTCGGAGTTATAGCCCGTTAAAATTAACCCTTATTTACAGCAAAACTATAATAGGTATAAGGGCTGTTTTTTGAACTAATAGGTTTGTCATTCCAAAATTTGCAATCACGGGCGTCCCATTTAAAATGTCACTCAAAGATATTCAAGACCGCGTGAAATCAATGAGGTATCAATGGTGGGAGGAGCAAACACACAGCTAATGCGATCTGAAATCTCGAGTTCAAAACTGCGACAGGCAAATAGATCATGTTTTACTAAAGTTCCTGCAGACTAAAAATTATCAAGACTAGTTTGAATGTAAACAAGAAACGAAATTATTTGAATATACTGTCTAATCAAAAGAATGCACACAATCAATGAGGTGAGCGGTATTCCGTCGCTTCTATAGGATCCGAATGGCTTAAAAAAATTTTCTTCACTTTTACAAACCAGTTCTTAATTGTAGATCAAAAATTCATTTTTATAATAATATATTTTATTACATTGTCATTAATGTAACATTTCAACTTATAGCAGTGTCCAAAGTTAATTATTTTGTAAATATTTAGAAAGAATTCTCAATATGATAAGTTATCATTATTATGTTAAAATTGTGGAGTCATTTTATTGGTCAATATATTGGCCACATTGTTTATTCTATTTTAAATGTACCAAGCTAATTCAAATTTTTTTTTCTAAAAAATCTTGTCAAATGATGTCAAACAATGTTTTGATGATGCCAGAAATTAAGTATGCAAACGATATCTAACCAAATGACAAAATTCTTAACTGTTGATATTGTGGGAAAGAACAACTCTATAATCTACATTGACGTCATGCAACTCTAGAGATGTGTAAATTAAACACGTTAGTAGTTAGTTAGTCCTAGGGCAATTTAAATAAAAATTATATTATCAAACAAGTAAAACAAGTTAAAAACAAGCTAGTAGATTAAGGTTGAGGAAAACCTATAGGAGGGTATTCACCGTCAATTTGAAACGCGGGACATTTTAAACAATGACGCTAACCTTTTCAAGATTATCAATATGTAGTGAATAATTTGTTGACCATATTGTTCTATCTTGGAACGAGTACAGACGCCTTTAAATAATTTAATTTTTAAAACTCCCTAAACCATTATATGCATCTTCAGTTATATTTGAAATATGATTGGGTAATTAAAGTTTAAGTTTCTTTTCAAATACAACAAGTCGCAAATATTTTTTATTAATAAATGCGCAATCAGAGGTTATCTTATTTCGTTTAGTAGTAAAAACATTACATTTGTCTGGATTTAAATAAATAGAAATCATTTGCATATAAATAAGAATTTACCATTAAATACATATCAATTATTATTTATAAAAGACTGAATAACAGGCGGCCAACTATAGAACCTTGAGGCACNGCTACTTTCATAAAGTCTACCTTTTTTGTGTAAAAATAGTTGGAAAATAATAATTTGTAACCAAACATGAGATACCTCAAAGCACAAAAAAGTTATGTCGTTTTTAACACATTCAATCTACTGCAGCTAGCGCCCTCTATGAACTTTAACCAAAATGTGAACAGATTTCAATTCCTCTACTCAACGAACTCCAATCCCCAAAATTTTGTGAGGATATTTGCATTTGTTAAGGAATAAATTTAAAAAAACTGAAATAATATTTTACATTTAACACCCTGTATATCTTTAACTATCAACTTTTGGACTAAGGTAAGTTCGGCTAAATCGCAATATTTTTACTTGGGGAATCTACCCATGAATTTTGGCCCATTACGTCGCGACCACCCTATATATTGAAAGAAATAAATTCCGTTGTAAAAAATAAATTTTTGATACAAATCTGATGCAATTGTCATCGAAAATTTAATGTATTTGATAGCAAAGAAGAAACGAAATTGATAAATTTTAATTTGTTAATGCTTTTTCATGAAATTTATTTGATATTGTCACAATTTTCAATAACACGTTATTGAGTCAAAAAGGAATATGAGTCCCCTTCCCTATTCCTACACTTTTCCCCGCGGTGTTTCCATTTCGAGAAACAGTCCTAGATCGCTTCTCTTGATAACGGCCTTTAGTCTTTGACGAATTTGCATTGATGTCATCAATAATCTGAACACAGCGTCCTTTCAACACTGATTTTGGCGGGTAAGGAAGGTGAGGGAGGACGGTAATCTGATGTTTAGCATAAAACTGAAGAATTGACAAAGCTGAGAGTGTGGACGTATTGCCATGGTGCAAAAATCATGAGTTGTCTCGCCATAGATCGTAGGGACGTGCACTTGTCCTATGACCTATAATTTACAAATCACCCACTTTCTAAGATGAATCCTTGTATAACTATAATGAATAGCCTTCGGTTAATAAAAAAGTTCTAGGAAATATCTAGTACCGTAATGAATTTGCGTTATGGCGGATCCTAGGATTCCATAATAATAAAATTAACCCCCTTTCTATTCGTTGCAGGACCCATTAAATCCTCAAGAAACTGTGATAGTAATTCGTTCATTAGTACCTGGTGGTGTGACACAAACAGACGGAAGGCTGATTCCGGGCGACAGACTTCTAGGAGTCAACGATATTAACGTGGAACACGCAACATTGGACATGGCCGTTCAAGTCTTGAAGGGGGCCCCGAAGGGCATCGTCAGGATCACCGTTGCCAAACCGTTAAACAGTAACGATGCCGTGTCCCACGCAAGCCAGGTATGCATTGTTTTCAGTGAGTTTTACTGTCGGTCTACGATTCATGTAATTGTGTGTAAAGTTTTATAACACGCTGAAGAGTGACTAAGAAATATAATTTCAACCATATTCTGAATATTCACTGTTAGGTATACGATTTGTAGTAGTTTTCTTAATTTTTTTGAGACGCTGGTCAACTAACCGAAAAGATAAAGTATAATACAACAGTAATTTAATAAAGGTTATGTTTATTCTTTACTAACAATTATAATTTCTATCTCACCTTAACCTCGCCAGTGTGTATATCAAGCAACAATAGCAATATTACCTAAAAACCAATAAGATACATTTTTTCGAAAAAAAGTTTTAAATTAAATTTGTTCAAAAGTAATTTTCTACAAAATTGCTCCTATGAAATATTTCGATTTTCCAAATAGTTTTCAAGTGTATTTTATAAATGAAGTACAGGTCATGTGAAAGTTAATGTTTGCAGCCAAAATAATGATCAAATCATTTTTAAATAACCAAGTGAAATAGAGAAAAGAAAATTGCGGAAAATTATTGGAAAATCTACTTTAATACTTTTCTGAGGTTTAAATATTTATGAGCATCAAACGTATCATTTTATAGGTTTTCGAGGATGCACATAACGAATAATTATGCGCTTTTTAATATTTTCAAAAAAAAACTTGTTTTTGAAATTTTTTTGAGACAGCAATGAAGCAGGTTTTCATAAGAAAACTAAATATGGAAGTCCAAAAAAAATAGTTACAAATAAAAAATAAAATAGTTGTTTTTTAATTATGAATAATTAAAAAATATATATTGATATGCTTTTTTTTTATACCTTTGCAGCTTCAGAAAATTTCTTTCCTACTATCATAAAATTTAAATTTTCAATTCCATTACATTAAAAATTTCAAACAAAACTCATTTTTCTGGAAAATATTAAAAAGTGCATAATTAATTCGTAATGAACACCCTCGAAAATCTACAAAATAATACGTTTGATGCTCATAAATATTAAAACCTGGGAAAACTATATAAGATTTTCCAAAAATTTTCCATGATTTTCTTTTCTCTAATTCAGTTTTGTTATTTACAAATGAATTGACCATTATTTTGGCTTCAAAACAGTAATTTCGACATAATCTGTACTTCATTTAAAAAATATACGGGAAAACTGTTGGGAAAATCGAAATTTTCATTGGAGCAATTTAGTAGGAAATTTAATTTTGAACAACTTTTATATGAAACTTTTTTCAAAAAAATTCATATTCATTGAGATATTGGCATTTTTTGGTCAAAAAACGCGAAAAACTTTTCTATAAAAAATCTCAGAATAAAAAAGTTCGCTAATTTCGTCTTTTTATGTCTAACTTTTCTGGACTATGTAGCAACAGAGCGTCCTGAATTACATACCCTACAATTTACTTGCAGATATCAAAGAAGAAAAAACTTCTTGTTCGAAATACAAAATGTTGAAATTAAAACAAAATCACATTTATTTAAATATCTCTTAAAATGTTTGGCGTAGATTGAAGCTTGAGGTTTACGTTTAATAACAAAACTGTAGTGTTGAAACGTGATAATATAACACATAGCTTCTTTTACATTTACTTTAACGTGTATATTATCAAAAACCAAAATGATATTAATAATCAGGTTTTAACAATTTTACAGAATATACTGGGTGTTTACGAAGTTGGAGATTTAATTTTAATGAAAGATGAACGAAAACACATATTTGTGTATCAATTACCACTAATTTGATAAACATAAACAAAATGTGCCATCGTATCAAGCCTTGATAAAAGTTCCTTTTTAAAAATGTGGCGTATAAATGGTTAATTTAATTTTTAGTTAATGCAAAACATTCTGACATATGAATCTCTAAAGGTGAAGAATATATCAAGTCACTTTGTTTTACGATAAAGTTATTGTTATTCTTAATAAAAAATTTTGCTTATCTTAAGAAGCCATGGGCAGTAATCAAATCAAAAAGCTGTTTTCAAAATGTTGTTCGAGAACTCAAGAAATGCTTAAATACGGGGTTTAGTAAAAAAAATAATTATCACATTTTGCAAATAACAAGGCGCGGTTTTTAACTACCTATCTTCTTAAAGAAAACAGAAATTGTAAAAAATAGGTAACTTTTATTTTAAATTTAATATAATATAAAAATAGCTTGGCAAATTATTGTTCTTTTCTGACTAAACTCCGTATTTAAGCATTTCTTGAGTTTTCAAACTACTTTGTTAAATAAGTTTTTAACGAAAACAAAAATTAAAGGCACTTAGGGAAAATTTTACATTTTGAAATTTTTTTAACGCCATTTATGTTTTATTACATATTTGATTACTGCCCGTAGATTCCCAATATAAGCAAAACTTTTTATCAAGAATAACTTTCGAAAATCAACAATAAAAAAGTTTACAAAAGTGCATTACCCCCATCGGGGAACACACTGTATATGGGAGCGATGTTAACAAAAAGGAATAACACATATATTAAACTAATTTACTAATTAAATTAATTAAACACAAAATAAAAAATAACGAGTTAGTTTGAGAAGAAGCTGATAAATATTAAACTGAGAGTTATTTTTGTTTTCTTATAGACATAATATTATTTAAATGCATTTTAAATGCATATTTAAATTTATTATTTATTGTAGCTGAAACGTTCGTTTTTCAGTATTTCCATTTAATGGATGTAAGATCAAAATCGATAAGTGTGAATTCATTACTACTGGTTTTCAAAAATTCCCCACAATCCATTTTATTAACAGATAATAATTTAACTACTATCTTCAGGTTAATTTCAAGGATGTAAGTTCTATAAAACTGTTAAATTTATTGATAAAAACAATTATTTAAATATCGGCATTGATTTTTGATTCTTAATTTTGTGATTTTTTCTCATTTTGCTTATTTAATATCTACCAATTTTTCATAAAATGATTTATTTTATCAAGAATGCTTTTAAGTTAAATGACATATCAAAATTAAAATAGAATTTTCTTAAAAACGTTAATGGGAATAAAAATATATTATTATTTAATTTAACTTAAAAGGTATTTTTAATAGTGATGTAACGAATGCCAGTTTTTAAGCATTCGCGAATGCGAATGCGAACATCTGTTGTTGACATTCGCGAATACGAATAGTCAGTTTTTAAATCTAGCGCCGTTTATCTATGATTCAAAATATGCCGCGCGCGACGCACATAATATTTTCGGTGACAGCGGCGCTAGAGGCTCAAGAAATTAGCGTTGTTAAGTTGGTAGAACGGTATTTTTGTATGATTGGAATTTAATTTTGTTTTCGCTACCGGCTCAGATGAGTTTGTGAATTGTGAGGTTAAACTGTTGTTAGTTAATTCATAACATGAGTAAATCAACTTCTAGTGAAATATGGACTTATTTTACGATTTGCGATGCCGAACGAACCTAATCACATTTCACATTCTGTATTTTTCTTTCACGTTCATATTCGCAAAATATTCAAAGATATTTGCGAATGCGAATATCATAAATTGAATATCTAATTTTTAATATAATAAATTAATTTTTGTAAAATAATTGGTATTGAATGCATTAAATAAACAAAATAAAACAGAAATTTCAAAATTGAGATAAAATCAATGTGCTATATTCAAATAATTATTTTTATTCAACAATTTAAAAGTGTTTTTAATATAGAACTCATAGGCACATAAAAATTTTGCATAATGCCTTAGAATTGACTTGAGCATGGAGTGTATAATGTAGACCACCAAAATTAGTACTCAAATAATTGTCTGTTAATAAACGTGTGGGTTCCTTTGAAATATTTGCGCAACCTCTTTTTTTCTTGATTATGGAATGCCATTCTAAGATTTTGCAGATTAATTTCGATTAAACTTACGCCCTAAAGTACCTACATGTGATTTTGTGTGTGTTTGTGTTTGAAAGCAGTCCAAAAAACCTAACGGAGAGTTATATTTTTAGTTTATACGGAAATTGTTGCATGAGTGGGCTGAGGAAGTGGGATTCTTAATATTGGTAAGTTCAGTGTTATTTTATATTTGCATTCGATATAATTTTTTTCCGTTTGTTTTGTTTCAGAATTAAATTTCGGAGAAACAGGGACTTGCAGGCACTGTATAGACGTAATTAGAGATGCACTGGAATTTTCACTGTCAATTTCACTAGCACCTGCTTTAAAAGAAGATGTAGTACATAGCATGAAATTTGTTATATTTGTAGCATAAATCTATGTGAAATAAATTCATAATTATTAGCTAGGTGTGATTAGTACTTTCACAAAATTGTGTCCGACATGTTTTATTTGTAAATGTTTACATATTCTTGTTTAATCCAAGTGTATATAAGTATTTATTTCCCAGCTTTTTTAAGCTTTATTGAACGTATATTAAACAAGAATATTTTTCAAGTGACAAATTTATTAAACAAATTTTGTTCCTCATATAATTAAAAAAGTTTCAATCAGCGTTTGACCGTAATTAACATATTTATATTAACAACAAAGATAAATATCAAATTAAATTAATATTTTGTCATGTTATTTTAACGATTTTGACTTTTGATTATATTTTATTCGTGTTTCGAACACAATTAAAATCGCCAGATAAGTTAGAAATAGAGCAATAATTGCCTAATTGTTGAATAAAATTGATAATATCAGTGGTATATGAAATAGATTCTACCTGATTGTTAACTTTTTTCGTTTTTATATGTGCCCTAATTCCAAATTGTTGGTAATATATTTATCTTAGATATATAAAAATTTTGGTTTCTTTCTTTTAAATGAACAACATTTAGTTAAAGGGCAAAAATGAAAATAAATAACATATTTCTGAAGATATTTGACATAGATTGGTAAAATTGGAGTTAGTGATTTGACATTAAAAGTGAAATGACTGAAAATGAATTGGACAAATTTGGCCATTTCAAAATAGGGTTGTTATAGTTGAACAAATTTTTGGGAATTTAAAATTATATTTAAACGACAAATTTT